GGTGGGGGTGGGGGGTGGGGAGGAAGGTGGAGGAGAGGAGGGAGCGGCCCCTCCCTCCAGAGGCCCTGGTGACCATAAACCCATCCTCTCCCTATCGCGCTTGTGGTGAAAGTGACCCTTCCTTACCCCACCAGAACATGCCCGGGTGACTCCCTCCCGGATCTTCCTGGTGGCCTTCCTCGCTCTCTCCAGTGACAGACACTATGCAACCCCAGCGTGACCTGCGAGGCCTCTGGCTCCTGCTGCTGTCCTGGTTCCTGCTCCTCTTAGAGGTGGCCAGAGCTGGCCGCCCCGCGGTTAGCTGTCCTGCTGCCTGCCTGTGCGCCAGCAACATCCTCAGCTGCTCCAAGCAGCAGCTGCCCAACGTGCCCCACGCCTTGCCCAGCTACACCGCGCTGCTGGACCTCAGCCACAATAACCTGAGCCGCCTGCGGGCCGAGTGGACCCCCACGCGCCTGCCCCACCTGCACTCCCTGCTGCTGAGCCACAACCACCTGAACTTCATCTCCTCTGAGGCCTTTTCCCCAGTACCCAACCTGCGCTACCTGGACCTCTCCTCCAACCAGCTGCGGACATTGGACGAGTCCCTGTTCAGCGGGCTACAGGCACTGGAGGTGCTGCTGCTTTACAATAACCATATCATGGCAGTGGACCGCTCAGCCTTCGAGGACATGGCCCAGCTGCAGAAACTCTACCTGAGCCAGAACCAGATCTCCCGCTTCCCTCTGGAACTGCTCAGGCTCCCCAAACTGACGCTCCTGGACCTCTCCTCCAACATGCTGAAGACCTTGCCGTTGCCTGACCTGCAGAAGCTGCACGCGTGGGTCAAGAATGGGCTGTACCTCCATAACAACCCCCTGCACTGCAACTGCGAGCTCTACCAGCTCTTTTCACACTGGCAGTACCGGCAGCTGAGCTCCGTCGTGGACTTTCGGGAGGACCTGTACTGCATGAGCGCCAAGAAGCTGCACAACGTCTTCAACCTCAACTGCAGCGAGTACAAGGAGCGTGCCTGGGAGGCCCACCTGGGTGACACCTTGACCATCCATTGTGACACCAGGCAGCAGGGGATGACTAAAGTGTGGGTGACACCAAGTAATGAACGGGTGCTAGACGTGGTGGCCAACAGCACGGTGACAGTGTTCGAGAATGGCAGCCTTCATTTCCAGGGCGTGCAGGTCGAGGATGGAGGTGTGTATACTTGCTACGCCATGGGGGAGGCTTTCAACGAGACGCTGTCTGTGGAGTTGAAAGTGTACAATTTCACCTTGCACGGACACCACGACACCCTCAACACAGCCTATACCACCCTGGTGGGCTGTATCCTCAGTGTGGTCCTGGTCCTCATATATCTGTACCTCACCCCTTGTCGCTGCTGGTGTCGGGGTGTCGAGAAGCCCTCCAGTCACCAAGGAGACAGCCTCAGCTCTTCTATGCTTAGTACCACACCCAACCACGATCCTATGGCTGGTGGGGACAAGGATGATGGTTTTGACCGGCGGGTGGCCTTCCTGGAACCTGCTGGACCTGGGCAGGGTCAAAACGGCAAGCTCAAGCCAGGCAACACCCTGCCGGTGCCTGAGGCAGCAGGCAAGGGCCAGCGGAGAATGTCAGATCCGGAGTCGGTCAGCTCGGTCTTCTCTGATACGCCCATTGTGGTGTGAGCAGGATGGGTTAGTGGGGAGGTTCTGCCCCAGGAGAGGTAATGTACCCCTGAAGGATTTGAGGGGAAGGAAGAGAGGGCTGGCTGCCCGAGGGAGTGGGTTCCCCCTGACCTCAAGGGAGTTGGTCATGGGTACAACAGCAGGCAAGACCCCAACCAGGGTGTGGCTGCCACGATTTTCAAATATGGATATAGTAATCCTCAGGCAAATGCTTCACCCCTACCCAAAGCCCTGGCATTTGTCAACTTGTAGAGGAAGAGGGGCGTGTCCAAGTTGGGTGGGAAGGAGGAAGGGGTGGGAGGAAGAGCAGAGTCCCTAAACTTTTTTGAGGTCATCCCTAGCTCCTCAAGAGAAAATCGTTTGGGAGAAAAAATCATTTTTTTTTTCTCTCTGCCCACCCACACCTGTGAATTTGGGTGTGTTGGGGGAGCTTCCACAGGAGCCACATTGGGGAAAAGCTGCACTATCTTCTTTGGCCAGGAAATCACACTTCACAGCTGGGGAAATTGGAAACCTTTGGGATAACGAGTCAGGAAAAGGCTGAGACCTCAATCAATAACACTCCCCAAAGCTGCTGTGAGACTTCCCACTAATGCCTTCCTTTTTCCCCGATGAGCCCTGGGTAGATGGATCTTTCCAGGAGCCTGGCCCGTTGCCTGTCAGATACGGCAGCAACGTGAGATGTGGTGTCTGTGCCTTGCCCTGGGACCGGTGGCACAGAAGGGTACAGCATGAACTGAGGGGTCTGTGTCACCCACGGCATAGGTGCCAGCACAAAACTTGTAGATGGGGGATAAACTCCAGATTGGCTAATTTCGTTGGTGAAACCCTTGGCTAGCACTTGGTTCCAGCGCCTGTATGTCAGACCAGGGTGGGGACGGCCGAAGGCAGAGCTTTTATGGATGCCTGCCACAGATGTGAGGCCACTTCACACTAGGAGGGTAAATCAGCCTCTCTCATGTAGCATCCAGCTGGACCTGGCTTTCTGTGTACGCCATCTCTTCATTCAGGCTCCTTATCAAGCTCAGGTGGGATTCTGAGTTTTCCCTAATATGCTGCTCTGCAGAGGGCGGAGTCCTGGAAAGTCTGGCCCCAGCTAGGTTCGACTGGGTTTGGGAATAGAGGGGACCGTGTATCTCCTCGGTGTTGGCAGACCTGCCTTGCTCCTCTCCGGGATCAAACCCGTGCTGCAAAGCCAAACTGTGCGATTCCATCAGCCTAGGGGTCGGAATTGGGTGGTCTGTGCCCTAGAATGGCAGTTGGGAGTGTGGCTCAGAGTTCTGCCTCTCCACACGCTTCCGGGCAGTCTCGTAACAGAGACAGTCAGTGGCACTAAACTTTCAGAAGGGGAGCTCTGCCACCCCCGCCCCTTTGAGCCAGAGGTCTGTGCAGTTGTGGTCCTTAGGCCAGAGGAACTTAAGAAGAACCGGCCCAATGTTCCATTCCATTCAAGGTTACAGAATACTTTGGGTAGGGAGATGGCTGCTCCCTTTAACTTCTCCGTTTGACTAGACTGCAGGCCTCGGGAGATGGCTGCTCTGCGCTTTGGCAAGGGGACAAGCAGGGTGGAGGTGAAGATGTTCTCATGTTGGTCTTTTTCAGTCCTCCCCTCTCTCGTCAAGTTCCCTGTCCAGTGGAAGTTCTCCAGATCTTCTGGTGTTCTGAACTGCTCCTTAGGTTCCAAGAGGTGTCATTTACCTGCGGGTGAGGGCTGCTTGCTAGGAGAGCCTGACTCCTGCTGCCTGTTAAGATTGGGAAGGGGACTGGAACTTAACATCTTCCCCTTGTCTGCGCCTGGGAGGTCAAGGCTGCTGTCCATCCTTTATTAGTAACTAGTCTTGTCGAGAGGTGCAGCATTTCCCTCAAGTAGTTGCATGCTCGTAGGTACGCATGCTCATAGGTATGCATGCACGCCAGCACCTTGACTTCCATCAGGACAATGATTGTTGAGTCCCCACTAATGTTCATTTTCAGAATGGTCTCCAACTGTGCGCACAACTTCATGCACACAGTTTTCCTGCCCTATAGAAGAGACAGTGATCATGCCAGGCTCCCCAAAGACAAAGTCTTATGCTTCTAATTTCTGAACTTTCTGAAGCTTCACCCACATCTCCATGGCGCTGAATAACTTCTCTGCAAAGCCCGGAGTTAGGAGAACCACAGGCTGAGGACCCTGGGAGAAGGGGTGATGGGGAGCTAGCCGGTTCTTCAGACTCCTCAGTGACCTTCCTTGGATTAAAGACAATATATATGAGAAATAAATGTGCAGCTAGGTCAGTGAAGGACCCAGCAGGAAACTGGCAGGGGCCAAGCAGCTGTACGTTGCTCTTCCTCTGTGAACTGCCCTGCTCAGACGGGCCGGAGGGGAAAGTTGTCTGGGTAAATTCCAGAGACTTCTAAAGGTTTTGTTCCTGGAGATGTAGGAACCAGGACTGCCTCCTCAGACTTCCCAAGGAGTCTGGGAAAATCTCGTCACCCTGCTGCGGTAGCCCCATGAGGGCTCTGAAAATCTTCACAGCGGATGCCCAGTGGGGCATTCTAGCCGAGTTCCTGAGGACTGGGAGGGCCGTTTTCTTCAGAAGTCCTACCCAAGTTAGGGAAGAATGGGCTGAGGCTCAGTAAGTCTCCCTACTATTTCCACTAGTTTGGCCCTAGTTTGAGAGACTGGTGGCTGTGCCTGGCTGCCCCCGACCAGGACCCTGGAGTGTTTAGCCTCTTCTGTGGTTTCAGCTGATAGAACCCGAAGGTCGCTTTCTACTTGGCGGGACTGAGTCCTCAGCGTATGTAGGCTCACTAGGACCCAGTGTGGGAAACTGCCAGGTCTCGTTATGAGAAACGGCTGAGAGATCATCCCCTCCCTTCCCCCCACCCACACCTATAAACCAGACATGTCTCCCAGGAAGCAGGTGTCCCTGGAGACAGAGTACGACAGGGCTCTCTACAATCTGTCTATGTGATTATTTGTGACCTTTTTTCTTTGCCTGTATTAATGGGGCTCCTAGGAAGGGGCCTGGAGAGGGTATGCCCCAGCTGGGGAGGGAAAAGCCACTGGTTCGTTGTCTGTGTGTTCTTACCTCTGTAATTGCTTGTAGCCCTGCTGGCGAAGCAAGCTGGCTTCCCCGTGTCCGGGACCCTGGTCCTCCCCCTTGTGTATATACCCAGCTGGCAAACCTTGGAGCCTCTGGGCTCCGAAAACTAGACAACGATCATTAAACCTGGCTTGAGTCTCTGTTCTGACATAGTCTGTGACTGGTTTATTTCTCTTTTCAGCTCGTGGATGGGGTTCACTGTACCTCAGAAGGGTGTGGCCTATGTAGAGAATATTTAAATGCTGTTACAAGGACATGGGTAGAATCCACATCCAGGCATTAAGGTCAGCAAACTTTTTCTGTAGAGCTAGACAGTATTTAGGCTTTGCAGGCCATGCAGTCTCTGTGACAACTTCAGCTGTGCAGATGTGGCAGGAAGGCAGCCACAGACAGTACATAAATGAATGAGTGTGGTTCTGTTCCAATCAGACTTTATTTATGCACATTGAAATTTGAATTTCATGTCATTTTAATATATCTTTTGAGTTTTTTCAATCATTTAAAATGGAAAAAACTCTTATCGGCTCACAGACCACACCAAGGCAGGCGGCAGGCTGGTCTGGGCCCGCAGACCATAGTTTGCCAACCCAAGAGGTAGCTCTCAAAAGAAATGTCACTGACGCTTTAGGAGGGTGGTCAGAAATTCCATGATGCGGGCGAGAGCCTGTGGCTAATGCAGCCCTCCTGGATCCCTGGGAGAGAAGGAGGCTCCCTGCAGAGCTCTCTTAAAAGTCTGGCTCAAGCCTCCGAACTGCACTATGGAAAATGCTTGAACTGCGTTAAAAGAAATAGCGGAGACCAGCTCACCTTCTTAATATTTTGATGATCACTGGTATATTTTCATGTTGCAAACGGTAACCATCTTAGTTTGGCTGAGAGCACATCCATCTAACCTGTGGGTTAATGTTCCTTGACAGTTAATGTGAACCTGGCAGTGCACAGAACGAGAACCCTCCCCGCCGCCCCGCTCCCCCTGCTTTTTTGGGACACACAGCCCACCAGAAATGGGACTGGATCCTGTCGAACTCTGGACATGCAAATACTTTGGTACTTCTGCAAGGGGACTGTCATGGCAGATTCCAAAAGGAGAGAGGAAATGGTATAAGGAAAAAAGAATCCAAATTTGAATAATTACTTAATTTCTTATATTGATAAAATCTCAACCGTTGGGCAGCTCTCCTCTGTCTGGACAGTTGCCTTTTTCTCTTCAGGAGGAACAACCGAAGTGATGAGGGATGAAGCCACCTCATGGCCGGCCACATCAGATCAGCAGTCAATGAATGACAGATGCTGATGCTAGAGTGTGGCCCCTAATCTACGCTTATAAACATTTTTCATCTTTTCAAAGCAGTTTTTGCTCTGGCTCACTGTGGCCAAGAGGATGAAGCTGGCAAGAGAACAGGCCTGGGGCAGACTACTGCGAGTGCTCCCCGCTCTCGTGGCCTGTGCTAAGCCCTGTCTCTGGGCCTGAAAAGTTTCGATACTCCTCTCTCCATCATCCCAAGGAAGTCCATGGCTGCATCTCCTCCACCCCACCCCGACCACAGGAAGTTCCCAAGATTCTGGCCGAGATGTCTGCCGTGTCTTGCAGCACTTTCCCTAGCTCCTCTTAGGTGGCATTTCAGGGGAGTGGACGGGGCTCACGTGACAGTTGCCTCTTAGCACAGAAGATGAGAGTTCAGTGGCTTGGCCACCCTAGTCTCTCTTCCTGATCTTAACTCCTTCCCTTTCTGCAGTTGTAGTTCTTGTACCATTTTACTTGTCTCCCAGGAAACCACTGGTGAAGCTTCACTTTCCCCACCCACACTGCAGTAGAGGCTCAGGCCTGTGCAGTAGGATGGTTGGCTTTGCTGGTCTGGCTGTGGTGAGCCTATGCTGGATGCTTCCTCCCCTGGGGATTGAGAGAGAAGGCTAAAGCAGCTGCCACGTCAAGCCCCTTCGTCATCAGGTCTATACACTGTTGGGTGGAAAATATCAAGCGGTGAAGATATTTAGGCCTGCCCTGAGTCCTTCCGGTCTACATCAGCCTCGCTCCTGTCCTAGAGTCACAGAGGGTATGAAGCATGCTTTGCAGGACCAGCCTTTGGTGAGCCAGGATGTGGAGCGCTGCTGGGGGAATTCCAGGTGCCCTACAGTGCTGGAAAACATGAGGTCAGTCAGTCGTCAACACCAAAAAATCATGTGTGTGTGTATGTGCACGTGCACGTGCACGTGCACATGTAGGCATGCAACATGCATGCAGCTTGGGGAGCACAGGAGGAGACAGAACTTTGTGCTGCTTTCCCCCTACCTCATACTGCTCCCTCACTTGGCTGGGCTTTGCTTTTGTGTGGGTCCAAGCAGAAAGGTCTAACCCAGGCCTGTGTATCCTTAGGAAGCAGCATGAGATAACTGGAAACCTGCTTTAAAGAGAGGGCACCCTCTCCACAACCACGGCCCATGAGAGAGAAAAAACAAAAAATAATAATAAATAGAGGGGTGCTGGGGGCCCCTCAAGCATAACTCAATGAGACAAAGAGTTGAATTCTCTGGAATCACAGCATAGTCTGAAGTAGTAGCTACTTAATCTACTTTCAACAGAGGTTTAAAAAATCACCCGGGAAATTCTGACAAAAGCAGGTAGATTAAAAACTGGGGCAATTATTTCCTGCACAGTGGTGACTAGCTAGCTGAGCCTTCTGGGTGGCTGGGTAGAGGGCAGGTCGTCTTACTAGAGGTAATCTGGGTCTGCTTTAAGGTTAGCCTGGTGCTGGAGACTGTCTCCCTCACTCTCCAGGGCAGGTCTGGGGCACTGGCGCCCTGCGTAAGCTGTATCTTCCTGGTGCCAGAACTGCTGGGCAGAACCGCTGAGGCAATGCCCACAGTGCCTGACTGGTGTTTCTTTCTGGATCCTAGGGCAGGAAAAAACAATTCACATAAAGACAAATACTGAAGCCTCAGAGCTGCTGTTGTGCCGGCTTGGTGTCCACTTCAGGCAGACTGAAGGCTGTTTTCAGACAAGTGGAGTGGAAAGTATCCTTCCCTTAATTTAAAACTTAAACAACTGCTTTCATGGAATGTGTGTGTGTTCCTGTGTGCATGTTTAACTTCCTTTGAAGTAGGGACAGTGATTCTACTCCAAGAGTCTGAAATAAGGAAAGAAACCTATGGACGAGCCTGACATGAGAGCCTAAGGCAGGTGCTGCTCAGCCTGTGGCTGAGGGTAGGGGTGATGGTGTTGTGTCCATTACTGTTGATCCTCCCTCCCGTCCTGGCTTGCCTGCTCCACTTTTCCCTCAGAAGAGCAGAAATGGGCAGGAGAGATTTACATGGACTTGTGACCAGCAGCCCCAGACCAACCAGCTCCAGGAACTCCAGGCTGGACCTGGGGCATAACTGTACTGACTCCCAGATTTCCCATCTGCCTCATGGCTTGCAAAGGACAGGCAGGCTGCACTTAGGGCAAGCTTCGCTAGAGTCACAGCCTTGGTGCCATTCCTGGCAGGAGTGGCTGAGAGTTGACCTTGCATCTACAAGGAGGAAATGTGTCTGTGTTCTCTTACAGTGGCCAGCAGCAATACAACACCTTTGAGACCTGGGTCCCCTTGGCATCGTTATCCATAATTGTTTACTGCCTCCCTCAAAGAATTATAAAGCCCAGAGCCAGGCAAAGTGTGAGAGAGAAAGACAACATAGTAACACCACCTGTTTCCATGTGTTTAATGCTTTGAACTTTCCAATGCCGGTTGACATGCACAGTCATCCTCACAACATCCCTGTGAGGTAGGAGCGGTAAGGGATTTGCTCACCGCCACATCAGTGTCAGGGGCCGGGTAAACCCGCACTGCAGGTTTCCTAGTTCCCAGGTCAACACACTGTTCATCATGACGCACAGTCTCTTTATGCCAACCAGACACAGAGGCGAGAGCTTCTCTGCTCCCTAGGCCTGTAGAGGACCACAGGGAAGGCCGAGGTCAGGCACCAGGACGGGGTGTCCTCTGGAGGCCAGGACGGGTAAACAGAAGGAAGGGCAGGAGTATAAGAGAGTCAGGGTCAACAACCACTACTGCCACTACGAATGACAGGGAGCACACAGTGTTCCCTATGTCTTCACCTTTGTCAGGTAAAAAGGCCTTATTCGTTTATTCAGAGGACTCTTGGGACACATTCTCAGAAGAAAGACGCCTCGAGCCATGGCTGGGAGGTGAAACCCTTGACCCTTCCTCCCTCCCATACTGCCCCTCATCTGTGACACTCTGCAGCCCAGGAAGAGGAGGACGTGAGGGCTGGCTGACTCAGCCTACAAGGGCTTAGAGGCCTGGAGCTGAAAGGCCCAGCGCTGTTCAGCTAATGATCATTATTAACTCTGAACAGGTTTTGGCACAGAGCCAACTGGCTCAGGGAAGATGCTCAGGTCTCCCACAGCGAGGTTTTAAAGACAAGACTCATGGCAGCCATGTACAGAGGTGGAAGGGTGGGGACAGTAAGAAAGAAGGTACAGGCCACTGTCAGAGGGTATAGAGGAGGCACAAGCTGGCAAGAGACAGCAGCCTACCTTCAATGCAGCTGGAGAGCTAAGGTGAGGCTGGGAGACTTGTGCCATTCGACACCACCCCCAGCCATGATGAGACTCAAGGCGAGGGGTGGTTCTGGGAAAGATGGGGACCAGGGGTGGGGGCATCTGAACTCAGAACAGTAATCCTATTACCATCTGCATTTAGATCCCAAAACCTTCTATATTCCTAATGTCCTCAAGGTTGAGTTTGAATATAATCGTATTTGGAATCAGGATTTAGTGAGCCTGATATGCAAATTTGTGCAAATGACTCGCTTTTTTTTTTTAATTTGAGCACCCTGGCTTTTTTTTTAAAAAAGGCAACAAAAACAGGCTGACTACTAGCAGCTTTCTTTAATCAGGGGACAAGGGCAAAAGGGCAGCCGTTTGCTTCTCCCCTAAGGCCTCTGCCTCATTGCTGAGGTGCCCAGCTAATACCCCCATGGGAGGTGAGAGGAAGAGAGCCTGGTGGGAGGAGGAAACACACAAGCAGGAGCCATATGCAGCCAGCAGCCACCAAGGTCCCAGCTGGAAGAAGAGTACCCTGGCACTGAGACCTAATGGCTGTCCAGCTGCTGCCCCAGGATGTGAGGGCAGGTGGTGACGGTGGAAGAAATGCAAAGAGGGGAGGGGAGGGAAGGCTCCCCCCAAATCTGGCCAGCCGGGAAGAAGGGCTCCTCCTGGTGACCTACTCCCTATACTGCAGTCAGACGGTTAAACAGGAAACCCCCTGTGCACCCCTCTCTGCCTTGTGCCCCTGCCCTACTGGTCAGAGAGGTGACAGCTGCGGCCCCTTCCTCCTGTGGAATATAAATGACTTCTCCCTTCCTCCCAGGGCTGGGAATAGACATCAGCTGGCACAGCCCACGCAAACTGCAGGCTGCCAGCCAGCCTGCCCGCCCGCCAGCCCCCGCACCACCTGGGAGGAGGCAGCACCTCAGGCAGGCTTTCTGGCGTTGCCTGTTTGGCTCTCAGAGCAAGCTGGTGAACCTTACCCAGCCCTCTCTCCCTGCCGCAGGCAGGGTGAGACTCCCAGCGCTGGCAGAGAGGAAATGGAATCCCTGATCAAAGCGACCGCAGGTGAGAATCTGATCCATGCAGCCCCGAGTACAGACCGCACTGGGTAGTTTGAGAGGGGAGAGGGGGCAATGAGAGACAGGAACAGCAAGGTCCCCTTTAGATGTTCAGGGTCTAGAGAGGTGCAGGGAGATGCCATCCGACCAAAGAGGAGCCCAGTGAGTCCAGTCAGAGGACGCCTCTGCCCTGGCAGTCCCCCTTCCTGTACTGTTGAATCACACCAAACTTCTTGTTTCTCTGCCACTCAGAGAGGAGGTCTCGAATCTTCAAAAGACCTGAGACATCTAAAACTCTGCTGTCAAGGCATGCCTATCCCTGCTCCCAGGACCTGGAACTCCAGCCCCTACACCCCAGGCCTCCCAGAGGCCCACTGAGCTCTTCCCACCTGCCTCAACACCAGCTCTCTTGGTTGGCCATCTTCCATCCTTGCCATGATCTACAGAGGTCCCATCTCGCCAAGTGAGCCAGATCACAGTTAACCAGCCTGGCATCCAGCCCTCACTGCTGAGGGCAGTCTGGGGAACTACTTTCGGTTTGGAAGAAGGAAGGGGTCTCTGCGGGGAGGAGGGCCTGGCCCTCATTTGCCAGCTAGCACCAAACTCGGCCCCATCCTGGGCCAAAGAGCTGGCAAGAGACAACAAGTGAGGAAGCTCAGCTGACAAGGGAAGAAAAGGGACCAGGGAGACTGTTTGCCCTAGATCAAAAGAGCCCTGCCCCACTTCCTTGGCTCCTGCTTTGTTCACGATGCTTCACGAGAGCTCCACGAAGCTATGTGCTAAGGCAAGAACCTGAGCCCCAAGGGCAAAACATGAGATACTCAGGACGACTTTGCCATTGAGAATGGATGTCAGGGGAAGGAGCACACCCATGGGCTGCAGCCTTCAGGCCCAGATCCCGAGGGGGGCCGAAGGAAGATCTTAGCTGGGCCAAGAAGCCCAGCCAGGAGCCAAAGGCTTGGGTAGGCCAAGGCCCTTTGGCTCCTTCCAAAGCTTTAAAGTGACTTTAGTGCCTTTACTTCTTAAGAGTTCAGGAGACCCTCACCTGGGCCCCTTCTCTCCACAGTGCTTGACCCCTTGTGCCCTGGTCCAGGGGCCAAATCAGCAGATTCCTGACAGGCCACAAGGGCAGACCTGTCCCTCCGGAGGCGCAAGGGGATAATGAATGTAAGAATTACATCCTGAGTTTGCTGAGCAGTCCAGCCCATTATCCAGAGCTGGGAGGGTGTTCTGTGACATCAACCTCACAGATGCGGAATGTTAGAAATTGTTTAGAAACACTCATTCATTACACAGTTGAAGAAACTCAGGTCCTGAGACATATGACTTGCCTAAGGTCACAAAATAGAGCCTACTAGGACCATAACCCATAAATAAGACCCATTGGCTTTGTCCACTACACTGCTTTCTCAAAAGTGACCCAGAGAGCCACAGCTGCCATTCGTATGTTACAAAAAAAAAGACCCTACTCTTCATCAGGCATGCAAGCAAAAAATGACCGAAACACCATCACCACTGCCACCCCACCCTTCTCTCTCCCATCAAGAGTAGAGGCTTCAGGATCAAGCTCCCTATAACCCTTGCACCCAGTACATCTCCCCATTTCGGCCCACTGAGTTATCATCAGCAATAGCAGTGTGGGTTTCTGCAGCCCCTGGCCCAGCCAAGAAGGACAAAAACCCTACCACTTTTGAAGTGGATCCCTTGAAGTTCTCCAAGGGAACCGCTGAAGTCCAAGTCAGGTGTCCCATCTAGATTCAGAGTTTGGAGAAACTCACATTTCTATTTTCTTCCTTGGCAAGTAGGCACTGGAGATCTGGTGCATGATCACCAGCGCTGGATAGAGGGGCAACGCCAGGCACAGGTACCAGGCTGCACCTTTGATCTGGGCCTGGAACCACACTGAGTACATTCCCAGGAGCACCGTCACCGTAGCGATCAGGTAGACCACGAGTCCACACGTCAGATGGTAGAGCTTGAGGCGGGCCACCCTTGAGACCCTGGCTGCCCGGGGAAAGAGGAGGCAGAGCCCACACAGCGCCTGACCAACAGTGGCCAGCAGTGTTAGAGCCCCTACCCAGCTGTGCCAGGACACCAGGTGGGGCAGCTCACTGCGGGTCTTGCTGGAGATGATGAAGCCCAAGCCCAGGGCTGCACAGAGGACGGCTAGGGTCTGCCCCACCCAGTGGAGTCCGATCCGGGCCTTTCTGGAGCAGAAGAAGAACAGGGAGTGCTCGGGTGAGAAGAGCAGGATGGCCTCAGCCATGCAGAGGCAGAACTGTGAACACAGGAGAGGGCCAGTGAGCCTAGGCTCAGCTTGGAGGCCTAAGAAAAAGTGGTCTCATACATCCAAACAAGAAGACAAAGGGTAAGGGCTAAAGAACTCCTGCCTATAGGTCAGCATTGCTGGGCGCAATTGAGAATGAACACCTGGGTAGAAGTCTAGTCATTTAGGCTGACATCATGCCCCCACCGCCCCCCCTCCTCCACAATGACTCTCATTTCTTGCCCAATGGGAACAGCAAACGCTAAACTTCCTCCTGAACTTTTGGGGAGAAGCGACTGGATATTACTCCTTTCACTTCCTCCTTTCAGACCCTAGGGGAGAAAGAAATATCTTCCATGCCCTCCCACCTGCTTCAACCACCTGACACTACCTACAGCCCAACCCTCCATGTTTCCCAATCTCATAGGTTCCAGGGAAAGATGGGGCCCTGTCTGACTCCTCCACCTCTTTAAGCCTTAGCAAGGCTGAGCCTTCTGAAGGCTGGATGCTCCCCTAGGGGCATATCCAAACAAATCAGCTGCAGACAGAAGCCCAAACTCACCGCCAAGGCCATGAATACAGGGTGCCAGGAGAAAAGACCTAAGAATCAAAGAGAACAGACTGACGGCTGAGCACCATTGTTTCTGCCCCTGAGGCTGGCTGGAGCCCAAAGAATCCGGCTACAGGGGAAAGTGTACTAACCCCTACTATTCCTAATCAGAAATCAGGACCTCAGGGCAAGGTGGAGCAGCCAAGGGGCCTTAGGGTGAGCAACCAAGAGGACAAACATACACCAGTTCGGCCTGGGTTCCGCACTGGGCACCTCGCAGCTGTCAGCCTAGTCTTAGAATAAACCTCTTCCTCCCTCCTTTACTTGTATTCTCCATGAGGGGCTCTGCTTATGATGCACTAGTGAGTCCAGCTGTCTGTCTCTCCTGCCCAGCACCCAAGGCCCCACCCTTCCAGGACCCAGCCCCCGAGCTCCGCCCCACCACGCCCTTACTACCCTTCCACTGCTGGGGTCCCCATTCCACGTCTCCCAGCGCTCCCAGGAGCTGCCCCTCCAGCATTTCGGCTCCGCCCCCTTCCCTGGCCCCGCCCCGCCCCGCACACTCACTGGTTCCCGGCCGGGACAGCACAGTCAGAAAGATGGTGAAGCCCAAAGCTACCAGATGCGCCAAGATCCCACTGCCTCTCCGTAGCCAGCGGGTCAGTCTCGGCTCCCTCGTTGGAGCGGGAACCGGACCTACCTCCAGGGTCTGCATGGCCGGGCCGGGCCGGCGCACGCTCCCAGCTGCCAGAATGTGTCTTCCGGGTTTGAGATCGCGGAGGCGGCCGCGGCTGCGGGAGAGGCTCCTCCCCCGGACGCCGCCAGCCATGCGGCAGATTACGCCCACAGCGCCCTCTGAGGTCTGGGGGGGAAGCGCATCTGCCCGGGAGAGCAACGCGGGCGAAGGGCATCGGACAGCTCCTGGCCCAGTGCTTAAGCCAACCTTATTGTACTTTTATGTCTGCAAGGGCTGTCTCATGTAGCCTGTGGAAATTACATTTATGGCAAATGACTTCACCCAAACTTCGAATCACAAATTTGGTACACTGAACCGAAAGTGTGAAACCAGTATTTTTAGCAGTTTTACAGAAATACTGGATTTCGCTGCCCACTCTCCCCTACCGTCCCTTCTGTGTTAAAGGAATAAGATTCCTTTCTGCCTAAAAGCAAGGAGATTGAAAGAAAAGGACAAGGCAAAAAAAACAGTGCCCTGTGCCTAAGTGAATTCAGGTCTGAGGACCAAAGGAGGGAGATGCAACAGTCTGATACTATCTGCACAGTAGTTGTCCCCAGTGAGATAATGGAAAAACTAGGGCACTCCCAGCCCTTGCCGCCTCCACGCCATCTGCTCAGCCCTGGGGAGCCAGGCAATCCTGAGGGACCAGGGCCTCCCACACTCCTGCTGCCTCCCACAGCAAGGGAAGTTCTGTAAGTGATCATACCTTTTCCCTTCTTGCCTCTAAAAAAGGTGAAGTTCAGCTCAAGGCCCACCTGGGAGGGACTGTACCCTTTTAAGGGAAAACCCACAGGCCAGGGGGAGAGAGACCAAAACAGGTGGTCTCAGAGAAATCAGGGACCAACTCAATTCAAGCTCCGGTGGTGGAGAAGATAAAGCAGAAGGGCAGGAACAGCTGGAGAAACTGAGGCAATTAATTCTGAGATGGGAGGGAAGCCCAGGGTTGCTGGAAGACCAGAAAAGGGCCATAGACTGACTCCCACAGACCCTCAGGGCAAAGATCCGAGAGTGGAGCCAGAGGTGTGACTCTCCGAACCCCGAATCAAGCTTCCCTTCCCAATGAGACTGGAGTCTTCTCTGGGGTCAAGATTCTGGGTAGCCTTACTGAGCCACATGCTCATGGTCATGTGTAGAAAGAAGACAATGTGGAAACCCCAGCCATTTCCACAGTTTCAAGGGACAAAAATATAGGCGCATGAGACTTTTGCAGGCAAGCAATGGGAGCTGGAGTGTGGCTATCACCTCAGCCCCCTGGGGTGAGGTTGGGGACAGTAAGGACCATCATTTGTTACATTTTTTTCCCCATCCTTTTCTATGTTTCCATTTTTATATTTTCTTAGCAGAAACAGAACAGGGAGACAGTCTTGAGGTATTTTAAAGAGTTTTTTTCTTAAAAAAAATAATATAAAGTTATAAAAAGCGGCAGCAGCCTGGGGCCCGGATCTGGAGGGGAGGAGGTGCTGGCGGCTCCATCACAGTGGGCAGGCACTTTCTCGTTAATGGGCTTTTGACTGCAAGAAGACAAGAGGCAAGAGACACAGTCAGGCTGGGGGTCTACCAGTCCTCCTACCCACTAAACTGTGTAGACCACAAGAGCTAAGGTTTAATTTCCTCCTGCTGGCCTGGTGAGGAAAGCTGGGCAAGGAAGAAGATGAATGCCAGCCCAACAGGGCAGCCTGAAGAACACCCATGCACGCATGTACACACACACACACACACACACACACACACACACACACACACGCACTCAGGCCCTGGGCAACTGTCAAACTCACTACTCTCATATGGGTGCCAGAAGTGTTGATATGAATCTGGCCCATGCCAAAACCAGAAGAGCATTCCCCCTTCCCACCTCCAGTAACTCCTTCCTGGCTGACATCATATGGACAGCTCCTAGCACGCTACTCCAGGGCTCCAAGAGCAGAGGCAAATAAATCTGGATGCTGGCTTTACCAGAAACCCTGGAGAACTTGCCTGGCACCCGAAAACCTGGAAGTGGACACATGTGCAAGGTGGGCATACATGCATATGTGGACCTTGAGTTATGTCCCTGCCCTTCCATGCCCTGGTGCCCAAAGGCAAAACCAATGAGTGAGACTGGCCCACCCACCCTGCTACGCAGTGTGTTAGGCCACAGCTCAGGGACCCAAGCTCAGCCTCACTGCCCAAACCAGTATCAGAGCTCATGGAGTCCAACTTCCTTTCCTTCATGGGACAGAGGTAGCTCCAGTTCCCAGAGTAAGGGCCACAGCCAATTCAGAAAGTGGCCCTTTGATTGAAGCACAAGCAGGGTGGGTGAGAGGGGGAGGCAGAGCCAGCCTCTTCTTAACCCCGAGGGAGAGAGCTGGGGCTAGGGAAAAGCCCATCAAACAAAAGCTGGGGTCACCCTGCAAAGAGCTGACCCACCTCTCACTAAAGGTGTCCCAAGAACTCTCAACTTCCCTTTTCCCTTCCCTGCGCAAACATTCACTTAGCACCTTCTCTGTCAGGTTCCCACCGTGCACCCCACCCTCATCCATCCTGACCCTTCCCTGTCCCTGCTCTTCAGGGAGCTGGGCTGGTACCTTCAGTGTAGAACACTTCTCCTCAAAGGCCAGGGCCGGACCCGGCTTCTTACGGCGCACAGAGCAGGCCGCATCGGCAGGGGGGCCGGCCTGGCAGTGCTTGGCCTTCACTGGCCGGCAGTAAGTGGCCAGGTTTTTCCGCTTCTTGGCTACCTCCTCCTCAGAGAGGCAGCTGGTCGGCAGGACCTTGGCTGGCTGTCCAGCTGCTCCCCGATTGTCCAGCTGAGAAGCCTTGACTGGTGTGGGGGGCTGATGAGGGGAGCTCCGACAGTCCAGGGGCCCTGCCCTCTTCACTCTTGGCCCCACTGTCCCATTTAGCCCCATGCCCAGGGCTGTTTTAGTCTTGGCCGAGAGGCCCCGGCAGCCAGGTTTGCCTTTTCCAGTGGGTTCCAGGATGCAGGTCCGTTTGAAGGTAGTGGGGCCAGGGGATAACTTTCGCTTTCGAGAAGGGGCCTCCAACTCAGCCCCATCTTTGCCTTTGGACAACTTGCTGGCCTTCGAAGGCGGGAGCTTGCTGAAGGATGGGGATGGTGTGTTGGCAGGCAGTGGTGAGGTGATGGCCTGGCTTCCACCCATGCACTCCGACTGGCTGCAGGCAGCTGCCACACTGGGGGAGCCTGCAGGGTAGCTGGGGACAAGGCTGTCCTTGGTGGGAGGTGTAGAAGCTGGGCAGGCAGGTCTGGGGGGTGGGCATGGAAGGCGGGGGCAACTGCCTGTAGAGGATGGGCTCAGGGGAGCAGATAGTGGGGAGGTGACAAGGTGAGATGGAGGCTCCGCCGCCGGTGGGATCTTCCTGCAGCAAAAAGAGAGCCCCACTGTCATGCCAAGCAAACGAGAGGGCCTCTCCAACAACGTATATATCGGTCCCTCTGCCCCACCTAGAAATGGCCCATGAGTTCTGGCAGTGCTGCCATCTGCTGGGAGATGCTGGAACTGAGCGTCAGGAAGAAGGCACAGAGGTAAGGCAGGAATGAACTAGTATAGAGAGACCTATTTAGAACCTCATTTTAAATCTCAGTTTGGATATGCTCTACCCCTAGTTACCCAAAAGGTACTGGAAATGATGGATAAGAGTCAAGAGTCACTCCCAGACCACCCATTCATGCCTCGCCTTGGCCCAGCTCCCCACTTCCTCCTCCTTTTAGCTGGGGTCTTCCTGGCAAACAGCCAAGCCACATCTATAGATATGTATGAAAAATTAGGACTTCTAAAACCCATGTATGCTTGGGGCCTGGGGAGGGAAATTCTGAGCCCAAGAGACTCACTTCCACATGTGCGAGCTGAGGTGCCGTTCCAGCATGGAGCTCAGTGCTGAGCAGAACCGGTCGAGCCGGCGGCTAAACACGTAGCACCCTGGACTCACCAGCCGGCTCCCAAAGGTGCAGAACTGGAGGCAGAGGGAAGGTACACGGTTAGCGGGACCTGAGATGCAGGGAGGGCACCTATACACAGGCTCTGACTTCCTCCCCACACCATGGGACAGGAGGGCTGGGCCACCCAACACCCCAGGTCCCCGCCCCAGGTCCTTACCGCCTGTGGCCGCGGGGGCCGGGTTGCGTAATGGCAGTCAGCGGGGAGGTGGAGGTCCTCAGATGTCCCCTCCTCTTCACTTTCCTCACTGGAGGCCTGGGCCCCACCCCGGGGCAGGGGGAAGGGAAACAGGCCTGGGTCCCCTTCACCACCACAGGGGCCTTCATCATCCAACTCACTCTCAGAAGAGGCCCGGGACCTGGAAGGGCCAACGGGGATGTGAGGGAAATGTGTCAAGGTTGGGGTGTCCCTGAATCCCCCAAGCTCAAAAAGCCAGGGCAGACGCCCTGCTGGGCAACCAGACAAAGAGGAAGAGAGGACAGTAAGGGAGGAAACAACACAGCTCACAAAGTAAGGGCCAGAAAGATCGGGGGCCACAGCTCCCAAGGGGTTCTCTCCCCAGCCCCTTCACTTCCCGGGCCCTGCCTCCTCAGGGGAAAAATCTGCTCCAGATTCGCCTCCTCCAGAAAATCTTCTGAGTTTAACTGCACCCAGCTCTGGTCAGCCCAGTCAATTCTCTCAACCCCCTTCTTGCATCACATATTCCTGTGAGCCTGTCTGAAGCTGAGCCTGTGTCTCGTGTCTGCCCCTCGTGTTACAGGCAGAGATGCGTGTGTGTCTCCTTCGGCAAGGCAGGCTCTCCCCGGGGTCCAGCGCAGCCTCTGCACACGAAGGGGCCAGTGAATGAATACACAGTAGGACTGCCTCACCCAGGACCCTGACCCTTTCGGCTCCCCAATTACGAGTTTTGGCCTGTCGGAAGCAACTAGGAAAATGTTTTCATCCTGGGTGTTGGAACTGGCCCACTACAGAGGCTGGGGCACTGTGGTATGCTTCGTTAGAAATGGGGAGTCACCTACTTCCACACCCTCCAGGGACCCCAGGCCTCCCCCCACACTTAAGGCAGAGTGGGGGGCATCTTCAGGATACTCCCTGGGCCTGTCTCCCGGGATCCCTGATGGCTTGGGGTCAAGTGTCCCCAGGTGAGATGGGGGCTGGATCCTGGACATACCTGGGCAGTGCACAGTATGGGTAGGTCTGCTTGGCACGAGCAGAGAAGGTGCTGCTGGGAGCGGCCGCCGCTGCCACAACCTGGGCTGAGGAGAGGGGCTCCTGGTGGGGGCGCTCAAGAGCCGGCTCCTTGCGCCCTGGGCTCTTCTCCTTGGGGGACTCCCCTTTGCGGGAGTTGGCCTTCAGCTCTGCCACTAGCACGTCAAAGTCCTTAGCCCGGCCCTGGACCTCCCGGCGCTGGTGCACCGAGTGGATCTAGAATACAGCAGGATGGAGGGGTGGGGAGGGGGTGTGAGCTGAGCAGGGGTGAGGGGCAGCGGTGTGCTCTGGCCTGGGCAAGCGGAGAGAGAGGGGGTGTGAGTGTGTTTGTGGGTGTGTCTGTGTGTTTCACTCCCCTACAAGGCAGAACCCTTCCTCCGGAGGGGGAGGCGGGGCGGGAGGGGGACTAGAGTTCACCCCCTGCCTGCTGCCTCCACCCTGGGCCCCCTGCAGACAGCCTCCTCTCCCTCTGCCTGGTCTTGGCTTCACCCCCACCCCTGGTGCTGCATCTTGGAGACCTTAATTCCTCTCCCTGCCCAGGGCCCATGTCCCTCGCTGTGCGGTAGGAGTAGGAGTTACCTTGCAGGTCAGCAGGCGGGTACAGATCTTTTTGGTCTCTGGATTTATTACTCCACATTGCCTGTTGAGGTCGCACTCCTTCCCTGTGGGAAAAGTGGTTCCCATGAGCCCCAAGGCCATTTCCAGAAGGCCTGCAGGAGAGCTGGGCCAAAGTCAGAAGAACCTCCAGCCCTCTAGTCTGGGGCTGCAGCTTCCAAATAAACTCCTCTGGGCATCTGCAGCTCTTTGCCGGATGCGAGAACCAACCCCATCCCCATCCCCGTTCTCAACCCAGACACTCCTTTTGGGGACTCCAAGCCCAAAACACGGCACCATGTATCAAAACACAAAAGCAGTCACAGACATCTGGGATGCCAGCGAAATCAGCTGTGGGAGGTTTCTGGTGCCCTGCATCCAAGTGAGAAAAAAATAAAGGTCACCAGCTTAAGGTGAGGAAGAAAAACCACTTGCTTGGGCACAGGGTCCCTTAGCCTTGACCTGGGCTGAAGAGAAGCTTCCCAGAG